GAGAGAGAGAGAGAGAGAGAGAGAGAGAGAGAGAGAGAGAGAGAGAGAGAGTATATGTTTGCCGCTGAGAGAAGATATAGTCGACTATTGTTTCACTTTGCAATGAAGAGACGGTACAAAGCAAAAGAGGGATGGTTATGTTTGGCAAAATGACTGACACGACTTAACAACACAGAGATGATATTTAGCTTGTCATTTCTGTACTGTGTATTTCTCAAGCAAAGTATGTTCGTGTTCTCTTCTGTGGATACCATGAGAACAAGCTTACTGCAATGTTGACAAAGTGGCAGCTAGTGTGCTTTGATTATGGGGAAATGGAATCTACAAATCAGGAGCAAGATTATGGAATAAGGACTGAGACAGAGGAATGCTTCAAACGTATGACCTCACAGACAGTTCGGTTGCTCCCTTATAGCAAGGCACGTTTCCACAAGACTGTCATGTAATCATGTTTCTGCAGTCTTCTCAAACAATGCCCTGAAGCTGTTAATTCTCCTCACCAGGTCGTGTAACAAATAGTAACAACACTCTTGGATTCCTTAGAGTGCAACTGGATTGGGAAAACTTATAATAACGTTCCACACCATTTAAATAATAAAGGGTACAATATCTATGACCTTTTCATGCTTTTCTTTTTTATATAAAAAGCTGGACTGTTCATGATATTTGATCAAGACTATCTCAATAAAATGGTTGAAATTATAGACCGTCGATAGCTCGTCTGACCGTGCCGAGGTAGCAGACCGAAACATTAGCGGAATAAGCAAAAGGGCAGAATATATTTTTTGAGGAATTCATTTTGTGCTGACATTTACCAGCTGGCGGTTTTCATTGATCTTCAATTTGACGAGCTGACAGCTTACATTGATTCAATTCACCGATGCTATTCTGAGAACGCCAAGCTGTTTCCTGGCGCTCAAAGTGGATTAACTTCAAACATTGAAACATCTGTGCCCACGACAAAGTCCTCATTCTTTCTCTCCGTTTCCTTGATACTCCTGAATAATTGGGCTGAAAAGAAGCAGCAAGAATGCAGGCAATTTTTGACATCCAAGTTATTGAAGTTATGGACCCAGCCGTCGATACAATTTGGGCCTGCAGCCTATGAGCCGATGTACTTTCTATCTTGGAAACCATTAAAATGTGAGAGGACACAGAGGAATCGGGTGCTCGTCAATTTTAGGGCATAGTGTAGAGTTATTCTTATCATATCATCGCCAAGCTTGTTTAGTTTGTCTTGCTTTTGGTGATAAAATACCCATTTGTTTTAAATAAAGTCAAAGTATTTGCGATTGAAGGGGTCTGCCTGGTCAGTAAGATCCACACATAACTGTGGTCTCTTAAATTGGCATAAAAGTTGTTATGTCAAACAAAATTAAATTTTTAACAATTTATAAATAAAATTAGATGAAATTGCCGAATGGGCGGAAAGATATATATTTCATCGATTTCTTTTTTTTTGACGAGCACCTGATTTCACCACGATGCCACTCATTTAAATGCGTAGTAGTCATGTGGTTGAGTCAAGTGGTCTCTCAGAAGTGAGAAAGGCCAGTTTTAGATGACTATCTCCCTAACCCCATTTGACATATTACATTTTATTTTAATGTATGCGATGACTAACATTGGGGCAAAATAATATGTTTACGTTTTCAAATATTTAGCTTTTTATAATTTCAAATGCACAGATTATCATACTTTTGATCTGTCTTTTTGTCCTTTTGAGAGAAAATGTCATGTTCTGGGGGAAAGCATTTTGGTATTGGATGCTATTTTTTCACTATTTGAGAGGGCACTGAAACGTTAAAGGTTTGCAATTTGGTGCATTTGGTGTTTTGCCAGAAAGCTGTTCACTTTTCAACTTATGTTTAATGGGCCTTGAAAAAAACCACCCTAAAGTAGAGGAATAAAAACTACCACTCATGAATAATCCAGTTCTTAAATTCAGGGCTGTCTCAACAGATATACCGAAAAATTGCTTGGGAAACGGTTGGGGGGGGGGGGGGGGGTAGATGAAAGAGCGGAGAGTTTTTTTATGTTGTGATTTGCTGTCTATAAGCTAATATTCTACTGCAATATAAATGGATTAGATAAGGGAATATTGTAGTCTTTTATATGTAGATTCCATAAAGTTAATATTGTACTAAACTATAAATGGATAACGTACGTGAAAACTGTAGTGCGTTATAAAATAAAATAGATTTCATAAACAGATACTCTACCACACACTACAAAGACTAAATAAGTGTATACTGTATCGCAGTACATTCATAATTACATGTATGTTTATTCCATAAGTAGATGTAGCACTACACCTTAATATGTGAGGCATCGTGGTGGAATCAGGCTCTCGTCAATTGTCTTTATTTGGATGAAAAAATATCCATTTGTTTTGAATACAAGTCGAGATATTTGTGAATGCTGGAGGAGGGGGTCACCTGCTTTCAGAGGTAAAATTAGTGAGAAAATGGCCGCCAAAGATTAGTTATTTCCTTAGCATAAGAGTCTGTGGTAACTGAAAATTTACATTTTTTGTGCATTTATTTAAAGTTTTTCAGAAAAATCCACTCAGAAATGAGTTCTTTAATGGCCATGAAAGGTGTTGAGACAAAACAAAACAAAAATTTGATAAAGATTCACAAACCTGCGGAAAAAAACAAGTTTCCTCATTTTAATTATTTTGACGAGAGCCTGATTCCACCACGCTGCCTCACATATGTTGATTAAACAAAGAAGTGAATTGGACAGTACCTTTATTACATAATGTAGATTCCATTAGTAAATAGTGTACAATACTACAAGCAGACTGAATAAATGAACACTGAAATACATTAAAATATGTAGATTCTATTAGAATATAATATAAATTTATATACAAAAAATTTATGAATATTAA